AAATACATCACATAGGAATTTCTAGAACAGAAACATCCACAGACACCACATAACTATGGTAAATTTTCTGTAGCTATACTAGACTTTGGTGTGGATAGCAGTAGGCATGGGTATAAACTGAAGAGGATACAATCTACCAACACAATAATAATAATAATAAAACTACTTTCTTAATATTCAGGGGATATTGAGTAGTTTGTTTATCAAAATAGAATATCATATTTGAAAATATGACAAAAATATGATATTCTAAATTTAACTATGTTAATTTTNTGGGATGTGGCTCCGCTGTCGAGACACCAAGCATCATATGGCATTCCAGTGTGAAAAGTAGACTCACGTGTAAAAAAGGTTCCTCTGTCGAGTTTGCTGGATCTCGGTTGATTCTCTTGTCTCTTCTTTTTAGAGATGCCACGAATATTCGGCTACTATTCGGTATTCGGCCTATTCGGCTACTTTTTTTAATATTCGGTATTCGGCCGAACAGTATGCAACATTCGGCCGAATAACGAATACCAAATCATGAAAAAAAAACCGCACACATTACTCAAAAACGTATTTATTTTAATCATAAATTATTACATTTAATACTTAAAATCTATCAGTGGTAAGTTGTAATGAATGAAAACAATTTTTTCAGCATTTGTTGATAGCAAACGATTGCGCTTTTCCTCATAAACTATACCTGCTTCTGAAAATAGCCTCTCACTATATACACTACTGCCGAGAGACAATAGATAAATCTTAGCGAATTCTGTCAGGCTTGGGTACTGTTTTTCGTTTGCTGACCACCACTTGTAAAGGTCTGCCGTCCGATCTAGGCGAACAGTTTTCATATAAAGTGATACAGTGATATTTTTTAGTAATAATTAGTAACGAAATTTCATGTAGCAATGAACAAATAATGCATTACTACTTCATTTTACGACAATCTCGTTCTCTGTGGCCAGGTTTTTTGCAAAAATTACATTGCAGTTTCGATCCTTGATGACGAACGGTAAGCGCATCATTATTTTGCGATTCGCGAGAAGATCGTCCTTCATATTCCTCAAAGATCTTAACTTTTAGGGTTTCGAGCTTCGGAAGGTCGTCTCTCGTTTCGATCGCAGTGCGAAATGTATTGAAACTGTTGGGTAAGCTGTATAGCAACAACACTGAGAGAAGTTCCTCGTTCACTATGATTCCCAAATCGGCTAGCTTATCAGCAGTGTCCAGGAATTTGGCGATGTGATCGTGCAGATCTCCTCCTTCATGTAGTTTCGTGAGAATTAAGGTCTTTATTAAGGAGGCCTTCTTCGCCGGTCCCTAAGACTGGTAAATCGATTTGAGTTTGTCCCAAATTTCTTTCGATGTGCTACAGTTTCGTATATGTTTTAGCTCGGGCGGACTTAACATTAATATCAGACTTGATCTTGCTTTACGGTCGTTTTTTGTCCAGTCATCGTGTTCCAATCGAGACTCGGGATTACTGGCGATTATGGTGGGACAAGGTACCGCTCCGTTAGCGTATTCCCACACGCCATCTCTTTCGAGTAAGGCTTCAGCTTGAAGACTCCAAGTATCGTAATTTTCTCGATTTAATAACTCGATTTTAAATGAATTCATCATTGCGGATGCGAGGATCGATAGACCAAATAATAAAAGGCAAAAGATACGAACCAAGATGTAGAACTAGTTGAATCAAGATTTAGTTGTTCAGTTCAGTTTCCTTGTAGTGTTAGTGTCTGGGCCCATAACCTGTGGTTAATTCAAAATCAGCGGAGAGACACTCAGATGAAACATGTTAAACGGGTTAAGGTATCTTCCTTTAATCTATGAATTATAGTACAAGCGTCTTTACATAGCAGTAGGACGAACGTCCGCACGTGTCGACAGTCAGTAGTCCGAACAAAGGAACAGGTTTAAGACAAAGGGTCACAAAACCTTTTGTTTGGTTATTGGGTAGGTCCCTCTAGTGCAGCGTTTCTCAAAGTGGGCGATAACGCCCCCTTGTGGGCGCTGGAGGCTTTCAGGGGGGCAGTAGAAGGCTCAAAGAGAATTGGGGGGCGTTAAGGAAATATAGAGGGGCGACGGCAGACAAATTCTATATATAAAAATTCGACGGAATATATATAAAATGTTGACATTTTATATATTTTTTATTTTTTATTGAAGGTCACAACTTGAATATTTCTAACACATTGACTTTTATTTTAGCTCAGCGTTTCTCAAAGTAAGCAATAACGCCCCCTTCTGGCGCGATGAATAGATCTATGATAGAGGCAGGGTATTGAACGGTGACCAAAGGCAAAATTGGG